TTTTGGGTAGTTAATCAGATATGTACAGATCAGCAAGTTGATTGGCGAGTTCCTCATTGCTTCTAAGAATTAGAGGAAGCGTTATTTTTATTTTAACGTCTCGAGAGAAATAAGTCATTCTAGTCTTCCCAATTTGTCTGGGCCCATGCCAAACCTTTGGCAAAGTGTAGCAACAGTTCCTCATGGTTGAATATCTCTTTTTATTGAAATGAAAAAGAAAACGTGCGCATGATCAGGCAAGAAATGGAGGTCATGTGATTGTTTTAAGACCGTTAAACATGTGCCATCTCGTTTGTTTGACCTCGTTTCTTGTATGAGGGTTTGTTGCAACTTCACCTTACAGTTAATACTGTACAATTGTTGAGAAACGAAGTTGCAGCAGTACAAATGAGGAATTGGTCACGTTATTATCGGAACTCATGATCAACTTTTCTCTGGGCGAGGCGTTAAAGTTGTTTGTTAGTAGGAAGTCATACAGCAAGACATAGTGAGAGAGACAGACATGATTGTTTTTCATGTTTTACTGTCTTACCACTGTGTACAACGTGCTTTGGCAATACTGTGTTTTTGATATGGACATGTCAATAAAGCTTCTTAGATTTTGATAGATCAGATAGATAGAGTCAGCTTTGAACAAGTAGTGACAATAACAAATGACCCATAAATAACACTAGATGTTTTTGCATGCATGTTTCTGGCCTCTTTTCCCACATGGCCTTAAAATGTCCTTTACATTTTCATCCATGCCGTTGCGTTTTTTTCTCCCTCATGACTCAAAGGCATCATGCCAAGATCGCCATCAGACTGCAACATGGCTCACGATCCGAGACAAGTAAACATCTGGATCCGTCAGAAAACATTAAGACCTTTCGGCCATATTGAGATGACAAGTGTGACTATAGCATGAATGTGATGCATACGTTTGCTGTTATATGTAAAGTCCATGTGGCATGTGTCACACTTATCTTGTATTTAAATGTTTGACTGTATCTTAAGCCTCCTTATGTTTTTCATTATTTGTAAAGCCCTTTTAATTGCCTTATGTTGAAATGTGCTATATAAATGAACGTGCCTGACCTAGAAGACTGTTAATGCTTCAGAGACAGAAGAGCTGAAGGAAATACTTGAGACAGAGTTCAGTTTGTCTTTACGGACCTCATATCGAGGTGAAAAGCGCATTTGAAGTATAGCATTTATCGACGTTTGTTTAAACGTTTTCCTGGTCTCCTAACAATGTTGTTTCCATTAAACAAAAATGCTTTGTCTATAAAGTTTGAGCTAAACTTATTATTTCTCTGGGGGGTGGATGGATGGGTCCAACCACTTTCACTCAAGAGGTGGTGCCCCATGTGAGGCTAAAAAGTAAATGTTTACACATTGTAACGTCTGTACGTAATGTGACGGAGCTAACCAGGGATCTTCTACCTTTGGAGAGTTTCTTACTCTACAACATTTTCCACGTATCTTACACTCCAGCAAACAAAAACGGGACTTTCAGGTTGTGTAACATGTTAAACGAAAAGCCAATGTTCACTTGTAATTACTTCTTTAAACTTACAAAACGTACCATACTTAAGTTGAATACATATCGTACTAAACTTAAAGGTAGGGTAGGTAAGTTGGAGAAACCGGCTCGAGTGCGCTAGAATTTGAAAATACACAGCCAGAAAAAATCTGCCACTTCCTTACAGAGCCCCTCCTCCAACACACGAACGCGCACATGACCAATGAGGGCACGAGATAAGTTTGTGCACAGATGGAAGGCTGACAGGCAGGTAGGCCATCCAGTTATTTTCGCCGGGCCGGCTCAAATGATTGGTCGTGCTTTTTACAGTATTACGGCTTCCACAGATGACATTTTTTTATGGATTTTTTGTCAAAGCACTTAAGATATTCATTGCTATCGGGATGTTAAGAGCATTCCATGGAATATAACAAAAAGTGTATCTTGAGCCGGTTTCTCAAACTTACCTACCCCACCTTTAAGTATGTCAATAAAGTTATGTCACAAATGTACATATTTTAACCCAAACCATGATCTTCTACTAAACAAAGCATTTTTTTACTTTCATTTTATTACACAAAATCCCTTTTTATATTACATATTTCTATCTAAAATAGTAACCTTGGAGAAAATAAGTTTCCGTAGTTAAATATTAAGTTTTGTTGTATGGGAACATATTTTCAGTCATAAATATATGTCGTGACCTGTATTCTTTTGAACAAAGGACTTCAATTAGCACTCAACCGATCAAAACAGGTGAAAAAATATAAATTATTGTATTTATCCCACCGCCTTTAAGATGTGTCTGTATATCTGCGTTTTTGGGGTGAATTTGATTCAGTGATAGTGAAACCCAAGTGGGTTGGTGGGGGCGGATCTGACTTAAAATGTAACTTTGTGACCAGAAAGCATCCAACCAGAATGACTCACTGTTATAAGAAAGCGGGCACAGTAAAAAGTCATAATATTAATACCTCATATTTTACAAGCTGATCATATATGTGTTGTTTGTAAAATCTTAAATCTATAAAATAATAAATACAAATGTATTTCTGAAATGTACTGGAGTAAAAGCCTTAAGTAACATTCAATAAGGAAATCTAGTAAAGAATAGGAAAGGTAATGACCAAAGCATAAATTGGCGAAATGTGATATTGGGAACATGACATTTTTATAATATATGTCACAGAAAGGGGGTTTTCGACTTTGTCATGAGGAGACGGCCAACAAGATGGAAGCAGCAAAAGAACGGACAAAGTAAACTCTGTAACCCTCTGTATGCAAAGTACGATATGATACTGGAGGATTTACTGGAAACAAGTATTTTTCTTAAGGTAGCGTCACATTCCTCACATTTATACTTAAATAATGTTTCTTTTCACAGGGTTGAAATTGTGTGAATACTGTATATATATATATATATCACCTTAAAAAGAGTACAGTGATATTCATGTATGTATAGCTCTTATTTGGCGATTCATCTGAAAGAAGGAAGTCCAAATGCAACTGGTCTTCATTAGAGCTGATAACAAAATGTGGATGACATGAGATCCTCTGTGACTCAGGACGGATTTACAGTGAAAGTTCTTAATAAAAGAGACTTCCGTAATGGTTTGACAATGGAAGAAATGTTGCAATATTGCGAATGAGTAATTATATCATGCTATAGAGAAATGTCGGTAACAGCATTGCTTCCAGTCTTGCGTCATGCTTTCTGTCATTTGCCTACATAATCACATTTTCCAGGGATATATCTGGATTAAATCTCAGTTTGCCTTTGAGTTTGTGATTTTGTGGTGGATAATTGGTTTTATGTCAGCATCAGTCTGACTGTTTGCTTCCCACACTCTCCTGAAGGGGCTTTCCTCTGCTGTAAACAACAGCAGTGTTATGCCTGAGTGACCCTTCAAATTCCCCCTGTGGTTGATGAAATATCACACCTTGTCTTTTTTCTCACTTTAAAAAAAAAAACCTTGTTATATTTTCACGTTTCCTCTTTAATTGCATATTTATGGCTTCATTTGAAAATATATTCTCACTTTAAAAAAAGGATTAAAATGTAAGACTTTGTTAAAGTTAAGTTTAAAGGTGGGGTATGGTAAGTTTGAGAAACCGGCTCGAGATACACTTTTTGTTATATTCCATGGAATGCTCTTAACATCCCGATAGCAATGAATACATTAAGTGCTTTGACAAAAAATCCATAAAAAAATGTCATCTGTGGAAGCTGTAGTACTGTAAAAAGTACGACCAATCATTTTAGCCGGCCGGGCTAAAATAACTAGATGGCCTACCTGCCTGTCAGCCTTCCATCTGTGCACAAACTTATCTCGTGCCCTCATTGGTCATGTGCACGTTCGTGTGTGTTGGAGGAGGGGCTCTGTAAGGAAGTGGCAGATTTTTTCCGGCTGTGTATTTTCAAATTCTAGCGATCTCGAGCTGGTTTCTCCAAAATTACCTACCCCACCTTTAAATATGACTTCTTGTGTTTGTTTGCCTGGGATCTACCATCAAATATATTAAATGTATCTTAAAATCCTCGTCAGGAACCTAGAGAATTGAAAAATGATTTCTGGAAGCTAAATACGTTTATTAAACATGTCAATAAAGGAGATCAACATGTCTTAAAATACTTTTCATATTCTATTATATGAAAAGTATAAACGCAAAAACTAACTCCCCGGTTCATACTCACGATAGACGAGCCCCCAGTTGTTATGACCGGCTCGTAGGCCACAACTGGAAAAGAGAGCGAGACGTTCGAGGGTTCCAAAAACCACGGCACATTTATTGTGGCAACTCCAAAACAACACCAAGAGTATGAGAGGATGGGCGAGGGGAAAGGATCCCGGCGAGAGTCTTCCTGCAGCGGTCTTGGAGAGAGTCAGGGGGCCATGTGACTCCGGGCAGCTGGGCCGAAGTAGCACCTCGGCTCCGGCCAGGTGTCCCCAGTCATGCTGATTGGCCTCCTCAGCTCCACCCCCATCACAGGACCTGCAACACACCTGCACACTCACAGGCCACAGGCTCTGGGGCCGTCACAGCTATCATTAAATGGACATACAAAATTGTACTTTAAAAACAAATGCTTTGAATTGATATAATTATTTTCAGGAGTTGAAACAAAATCTTCAGCAAGATGGACTTACATTCAGAAACGACATGGTTATGACACTTTAAAAACAAAAACAGATCTATAAATGACTTACAAGTCAATTACATTTGGGCAAAACTGAATAGTATAACTCCTTCCCCAAACAGGGTAAACTTTTATTTTCTTAGAGGTGTGGTTTTAAAGATTGAAGCGTAGTGCCAAGCTGTAAATACGTATTTGTTTACATACACAGAGTGGTAAAACCGCTCATCTGAGTCAACAGTGTTTGGTATTTTATTTATTGATAGTCCCCAGTGACAGCATGTGTGTGTTTTAATCACATGTGAGAGGGAGATAAGAGGTAGGCGGATGTGTGGTGACTTCCCACAACAAGCAGACGTTTAAAGCAGAAGTGATCGCTGCTGGTGTGGTCGTGACTCATTTCTTCATTATTTCTAGTAAATGAACTCATTCAACCCTTTCTCTGACTGTGTCCGTACAATCAGACTTCTGGACGATGTGAACACGCAGAGTGAAGTTTACAGAAACAGACCTCAGGCAAAAAGAGGCTCCTGGCTGTGTGTGTGCCCAGGAATGATGCATCTTTACTGGGTAGTGCTTTGGTCAACGCTCCCTCCTCTGGTTCTCTGCTGTGCTCCAGACTGCTGTTCTGTACACGAGAGCAGCAGCAACGGTAAGTCTCTTCACATGGCATATTCACAATTGTTTTGGAAGGAAATAATCAAAAATGTCTCAGTTTTAATATTTCTGATTCTTATTTATTTATTTATTATTTATTTATTTATTTATTTATTTATTTATTTATTTATTTATTATTTATTTATTTATTTATTTATTTATTTATTTATTTATTTATTTATTTGTTTATTTATTTATTTATTTATTTATTTATTTATTTATTATTTATTTATTTATTATTTATTTATTTATTTATTTATTTATTTATTTATTTATTTATTTATTTATTTATTTATTTATTTGTTTGTTTGTTTATTTAGTTAGTTAGTTAGTTATTTATTAATTTATTAATTGGATCGTTGCTCAGGTATGCTCCTTTGTTATGTTTGTGTGATACATCATATACATAAAAGTGATGTTCTCAAATGTAACCGATTGACTCAAGTACTACTTCAGTTCAGATTGGGGTTGTTTGTACTTCGTAAGAGTATTGTTGCTACTGTATATTTCTACTCCACCACATTTCATAGGGGACATTTTGTACTTTTAAATATATCTGACAGAAAGCTGATAAATAATGTGTATATAATAAAAGTGATTTCCCCTACACTACATGCTAGAAGCCTTTGAAATGTGATTAATTGTTCACTTAACAAACGATAATACTGAGGATCTCCAAAGTCTTAAATGTTTTCTTTATGGAAAGTTACAGTGTGAAGTCAACTTTTCCATTATTCAAGTAAAGCAGATTGCCTTAAATGTTATTGCTTTTCTCCAAAACATATTTCATCAAATTGTTTTCATTTAAAAATAGGTATAAGTGTCCCTTTTTCTCAATGGTTTAAGGACAGAAACATCTTTATAAGTTTGACATTTTGCACCAGAAATGCTATACACACACATTAAGAAATTAATTGTCCTATAATATACACACTTATAGTACCTTTACACTTCTACATGTAGTATTTCGAATGCAGGGCTTAGTGGTGATTTCATGTTTTTTTACCTTGTTGTACAACTTCCTATTCTTGAAACTGGACACTGCTTGCAGTACATTCAGCACAAAACAACAGCAAAGAAAATACATTTAACAAAGTAATCAACAAACAACACTTCCTTTTCTCCACCCAGTGTCTCCGCTGCTGAAATCCTTAAAGTGCCACAACGACTACAAGTCCCATGTCCTCTGCAGGTGGAGGGAGCACAGAAACACAACCCTGACGCTCTGGTTCAAGACAGAAAACAACAGGTGAGGGCAAAAGATCAGGGGAGAACAAAGAGGGTGTTTGAGGGCGGGCTTGTTGTGAAGACATGATGTTGGAATAGCTAGCATTTAGCAACTGGATGTTGTGTGTTAGGCTGCTGGCGAAGGGAAGGAAGGGATGACTGAAAAAGGGATGAAGTAAGGAGGCATGTCGGTCAAAGGGAATATGGGAGGGAGCGGTTAACATTTGAAGGAATGTAGGGAATGAAGAATGAAGGGATAAAGGGATGTAGGAAAGGATGTATTAAGGGATGAGGGTCAAAGGGTAAGCAGTCGTAGGGAGGGAGGGAGGGAGGGAGGGTCGTGGGGATGTGGAATGAAGGGATAAATGGATAGGTAGGTAAGGATTGAGGTCGAAGGGGTGTAGGAAAGGATAAATCAAATAAGGGATGTAGTAAGGGAAGCATGAGAGTCGAAGGGTTGGAGGGTCAGAGGGATGAAGGGAGCGATGAACGCTTGAAGGGATGTGGGACGAAAGGGAGGGATAAACAAAGGAAGCTGGGATGAACGGATGTAGGGAGGAAGGGTTAAATGGATGAAGGAAAGAAGTGATTAATGGATGTTGTGCCGTAGGGATGTACAGTAGGAAGTGAAGGATCAAGGGACGAATGAATGTAGGAAGCGAACGAAGGGACGAGTAAGGATGAGGTATTCGGGAAAGGGATGAATGGGTGGGAAATAATGAGTCATGAAATGATGGATAAACAAGGCTGGATGTGTTGACCTGGTGTAAGTAGCTCAGCAGGTGATTGGAAGTGTGGCCCTTCTCTCAAAACCCAAGTTGACTAATTGACATCATTAATGGGGAATATGTCGTTCTGGCAGCCATGTTCTCTGTCCCACAGCTCTGTGTTGATGTTCTTTCAGGGAGCAGTGTTTGCCTTGCGGTGCTGAAGAAGAAAGAGAGCACAGGACTGTCCAGTGTCGATATGAAACCCGGGTATTTTCCATCGGCATCAAACACACCGTCTTCTTCCTGGAGAACAACACACTCTGCTCATCTGTCCCACACAAGCCTCTGGATCTTACCCAGCACTGTAAGTTTAGATAATGAACTGTGCTAATGAGCAAAATAACATGTTTTATAAGTAATTTTTGAGCTAATTCATATCTATTAGTACATGTTATATTCAAAAATGTGATTTTATACATATTTTGGTTTCAGAATGGCCTTTTCGATGACAGGAATCATTTAAGGTCTTTGATATACGTCTTAATCTTTACGAGGCGCCTTGTTTTTTGGAGTTATACTAGAGAACATTTGCTTTATGACTTGTCTAAGAATCAGTTAAATATGTAGACCAGAGGAAGGTTTGGCAAAGGAGATGGTGGCAAGCACGTGTATTGTTCATCTTCTGCTTTCCTTGGCTATGCCCTTCAATAAACCTTCCAGCAACCTCTCTGTTTTCAAGTATGCTTGCTCAAATAATGATTTCCATTGTGGTCTCACTGCTACCTGTATGTGTTTTTGTGTTGTACAGTGAGAGCCCGCCCACCAGTGAATCTATCCTCCCATGATGGAGGTGATGGAGGTGATGGAGGCCGGCGGCTCAGCTGGTCCAGCCCGTACCCCTCCTCTTCCTCTCTGAACAGAAACCTCACATATCAGCTCAGCTACAGGACACACGGACAGGACAACTGGACGGTTAGCATCAAATAATCTGCTGCCAGTTTTTACTAAATGTCTAGGTCATGAAATGTCAATTACAACATCTGAAATTATATTTGTATATACCTGCCACAGGAAATACCAGCTCAAGAAAATAAAAATGTCTTAATCAGTTCATCCTTTTAAAGAAACTTATCAGGGGGTCTGGTATTTTACATTGTTTTGTATTTGCTGAGAGCCAAATGCTAATATCAGTATGCTTATACAGTATGCTCACAATGACAACATTACCATGCCGATGTATAGCGTTTGCAATGTTTACCACATTTTTTGCATTTCAACATGCTACATAATTGCTTAAAAACTAATCGTTTTAGCTAGCTGCAATTCCTAATTTGTATAATTGTTTTACTTAGTTCCATTCATCACCATGCATTGAAACAGAAACATAACAATCCATGTGAAACGTCATGTGACCTTAAGCTAGAACTCACACACATCTCTTCTCATTCCCTACAGTCTGAGGATGTCACAAACACCAGTGTGAAACTGGAGAAGGGGCTTTTACTCCCGGGTCGCAGGTATGAAGCCCGGGTGAGGGTCCGGGCCAGCGTGGGCCAGTGGAGCGACTGGAGCCCTGTGGTGACCTGGCACTCTGAAACAGGTCAGACAAAAAAGCTTTAAAGGTCCCCTATTATACTGTTTTTCATCAATATATTATAGGTCTCAGATATATACAAAACATGTCTCTGAAGTGTTTGGCTCCAAACACCAAACAGATCATTGCAGCATTACCCATAATCCCCTCTGTTTCAGCCCTGTTTCCAAAGTGCTGATTCTCTGTCTGTTACTTTAGATGAAAATAAGGAGCCCCTCCCCACGCCCCTCTGAGAGATATTTGGTTAAAAAGAACACAATGGTGCTCTAGGAGGAGATTCAGGTGATAAGGGGGGGGGGTTACCTTGGTTGGTGATTGGCTAATGGTTACACAAGCCAAAACATCATTATGACATCATAAAGTGGCCAAAATCTGATCAGCTCATTTTCAGACAGGTTTTTATATAAATGGATCAGGACAAAAAGAGAGAGAATCTTTGTTCCTGAAACTTTCAGAATCTCTTTACACAGAGGGGACACATGTTGATGTAGAAGAGACATGAAAAAGAGGGGACACATGTTGATGTAGAAGAGACGTGAAGAAGAGGATTTTGCATAATAGGTGACCTTTAAAACACTTAAAAAGTTACAGTTACAATCACGATTTTGAAGTACCTGAAGTACTTTGAGTGTTTCCATTTAATGCTACTTCCTACTCCGTTTCATCGAAAAATGGTAATAATGTATTTTTACGCCTAACTTTAAAAATAATGCACCCACAAAAAAGTACAAAAATGTAAAAGTATCCAATATATTAATGAAAGGGTTAGAAAAACATGTATAATTGGTGTTCAAGGACTTTGTTTAAAACAGCACAACGCTACCTAATGCAACAAAATGAACAATCTAATAATGTCATATTTTTTATAATTTATCATAAATGGAAGCCATTTTTCTGCAGAATAAGTAACTATTGATACTTTAAGTACTTTTTGCTGATAATACTTTTATACTTTTACTTGGAGTATTTTAAAATACTGTAATGGGACTTTTAATTAAGTTAAGGATGTGAATAAATCTTCCATCTCTGGCCTTTCTTCTATAAGAAACCCCGCTCTTTATCTCCTTTTCTCATATTTCTAATCTTCTCTTTCTGATGAAAAATCTGGCGCTTGCAGCTGTTGTTATTAGTTCTTTTTCTCTAGGTTTAGACACTGGGCAGATTCCCAGCTTGCATTGTGTCCTGGATGGAGAGAGGGAGGTGACGTGCAGCTGGGAGGTGAGCAGGGACGTGGATCACTTCATTACCTACCAGCTGGTCCTTCCAAACAACCAGACGCCGCCGTAAGTGGACAAAACCACCTGGATGGAAAATGCATCCGGTTATTTATCATCCTTTCATCCATCTCCCATCTCCTTGTAATCCGTGGCTTCAGGTCTCAGAGGCGCTGTGTGAACCTGACAGTGAGCTCGGACCCCGGTGGAGGGGTGGTGAGGTACAGCTGCTCCCTGACGGATGCAGACCCCAAACATCTGCTGGTAGAGCTCCAACCATCCCACCAGGCCAAGAGCTTTAACGTCTGCGAACACAGTGAGTGGACATCCAGAGGGCACAGCTATGAGTTAGTGGATTATGGAGGAGAGACAAATTAAAACACATACCATGGGGCGATGAAACTGCAGGGCGATGAGCGGAGTAACTGTGATGTGATGGAGTGCCCCCACCTAGTGTTTCAATAACCTAACTGCAGGCCTGTACACTAATTACAAGGCAATAAGATAACATCACGTGGCTGGCTTTATATTTTTGTTGTTGTCATGTGAAAAATTACACATAACACACTTGTAACCAACAACAAAAAAAGGTATTTTGATTGATTAAAACACTTTTCAAAAACACAGATGTTCCTTATAAATGCCCTCTAATTTGAACTGAATTACTGAAATTCAGAAGAGTCTTATGTATAACTTATGACACAAAGAGACATGGGAGGTCTGGTACCTCTCCATTAAGGCATTTACACAGCAAACTTGCTGCTACATTTTTGCTGACAAACTTTAAAAATAATGTATCCAGGAAAACTTTACTTTGAAACTTATAAAGATAACCCAAGCTAAAAATGTGTGTTCCTCTTTAGTCATAAACACAGGAGAGAACACAATTTAGCTCAGCCATAAAAAAATATTACCAGAATATTGTTTTCTAACTTGCCTATCGTGGCTCTGTGTTACTTATTCATGACACAAGCTAACCAAACTGCAGGCCTGTACACGAATTACAAGGCAATAAGATAAGATCACATGTCATATGACAAATCACACATAACACACTTGTAACAAACATTTAACAACAACACAAAAAAGGTCTTTTGATTGATAAAAAAAAAGGTTCTCAAGCCAGTTTCTATAAATACAGATGTTCCTTATAATAGCCCTCTAATATGGGAAGCCCTCCCAAATTATTAAAAGACTCTTATGTATAAATGATGACACAAATAGACACGAGAGGTCTGCTACCTCTCCATTAAGCATTTACACAGCAAGCTTACTACTAAATTCTGAACCCTCTTAAACATTTTAAGGATGTAAAACGTTACTGTCATGTCTTTTTTGGCTTAAAATGTAATGTTTAATCAAGTAATAAGTAGTCATCACATACAGAGGAAAGAAAACCATTTAGCTCAGCCATAAAACATTATTACCAGAATATTGTTTTCTAACTTGCCTCTCAGGGCTCTGCGTTACTTATTAATGACACAAGCTCTTGTTGTGCAGTTCGTCCCAAACCCCCGCAGCAGGTGAGTGTGAATCCAAGAGACAGAAACTGGATGGTGGAGTGGACTCATCTAGCTTCAAAAGAACCTGAGCTGTATTACCAGGTCTGCTATTACAAGACAACGGATCAGGTGAGGTCTCATTTAAGTCTGTTCTCCTGCCTGAATGAACACCTGTATTGAAATCACTTCATACAAACCACTTCTTATTGATTATATGCATTCATCATTTTATTTCTGTTGTATGTTCACTTTGTTTTATGGGGTTTTATATTGTTGCATCGATTCAGTCTTATCTGTCGGAGAGAAATCATTATTAGGGTCTGAGACCATAGGTCGGCGAAGACCCTATTGAAATCGGTCGCGCAGCGACCGATAAACCTGCGAAAAACACATAAAAACAGGGAAAACGTCCGGCAAAAGCACAGAAAAGGTTCGGAAATAGTGACGGCAGATAGTCCGCGTGAGCCCAGTCACGTGGGCGAAGCCCACGTGATTGCAACTCGCATAATTAATATCGTTACGATCAATTTAGTCGCTCGCGAAGCGAGCGATAACCATGCAAAACCCACTAAAAACAGGGAAAAAGACGGGTAAAAGCCCATTAAAAGTGGCCTAAATCATGACAGTAGGTAGCCCAACGGCCTACAGTGACGTGGGCTACGCCCACGTCACTGTAAACGAGCACATTATTGATATTGGTCCGATTATTTATTATTAGGGTCTGAGACCTAGGTCGGCGAAGACCCTATTGAAATCGGTCGCGCAGCGACCGATAAACCTTTGACCCCCGCAACATATGTGAAAACTCACCAAATGTTGCACGTGCGTCAGAAGTGGTGCAACTTCAGATGTGTAATTGGTTCCGGAACTTTGCGTCAAAAATTGCGTAGGCCACGCCCACTTCCGTTTTTAACGTAAACTCCCCCCACTTTACCTTTCACGTAAACCAACGAAACTCGCTACGCATATCTAGGGTGCGGAGACAAACCAAAAAGCCTCTTGGAGGGGTATAAAATAACGTACAGGAAGCCGGCCATTTTGAATTTGGCGTCGGAAATCGTCCTCCGCACGAAATCTATCTTCTCCCAGGGACTTTATCCGTACGACTCGAAATTCGTCGGGTAGCGTCTCGAGACATGGGCAATTCAAAGTTATCACGGAAGTCTTTTTCTTTCGCACGGCGTAGCCGTGATTTGGCGCCAAAGTTCGCGTTCGCTCGATGCTCCGCCATCCCTCGCCATGGAACACGATGATGTCATAACGCCAACTGACATACTCGGAACGCCACCAAACTTCACATGATGGTCAACACTGCGGCCCTGAACAGCTCTACGTCAAATTTGATGTTACTTAATATGGCGTTACCATGGCAACGAATCCCTCGCCATAAAACACGGTGTCGCTGTAACTCCAATGGACACGGTCCCATCGTCCCCCAATCTTCACTTTTATATCACCGGTCCATGCCTCAACAGCTCTACGTGAAATCTGAGATCTCACCGTATGCCGTTTCCATGGCAACGCATCCCTCGCCATAAAACACAATGTTGTCTTAAGTCAATGGAAAATGGTCCAAACTGCACCACACTTCAGATGATGGCTAATGGTCCGGCCCTCAACAGCTCTACGCCAATTATGGGATGTCATCATATGCCGTTTCCATGGCAACGCATCCCTCACCATAAAACACAGTGTCGCTGTAACTCCAATGGACACGGTCCCATCGTCCCCCAATCTTCACTTTTATATCACCGGCACCAGACTTCAGATGATGACTAATGGTCCGGCCCTGAACAGCTCTACGCCAATTATGGGATGTCATCATATGCCGTTGCCATGGTGACAGATCCCTCGCCATGAAACACAGTGTTGTCATAACTCGATGGAAAATGGTCCAAACTGCACCAGACTTCAGATGACAGTTAATGGTCCGGCCCTCAACACCTCAATATGACAATAGTGAGTTTTCCTCAAAAGCTGTTGCCATGGCAACGCATCCCTCGCCGTTAAGCACGATATTGCTATAACTCCTGTGCAAATGGTAAAAAAGTGTTCAAATTTCCCATGTGTGCTAACCGTCAAGCCCTCGACACATATATGTGTCAGTTTTGAGATTTCGTCAAATGTCGTTGCTATGGTAACAAAATGGTCGCCGTGAAACACGGTTTTCTCATAACTCCAGTTAACATGCTCCAAACGGCCCAAAACTTCACAGGTTTGATAACGATGCAACCCTCAACACATCTAGGCGTATTATGGGGTGTCATCAAATTCCGTTGCCATGGCGACAGATCACTCGCCATCAAACACAATGTTTATGATACTGCTGTAACTCCCATGTACGTTGTCTAATCGGCCTGAAACTTCCCACGTTTGCCAACGGCCGAGTCCTTGAAACACCTAGACACACACGTCGACGTGCGGACAGCACGACCCGCTCAACGCTGCTTGCAGCTTTAATTGTTATTGTTATTGTTATTGTTATTATTATTATTATTATTATTATTAGGCGCCGCTTTCCACCTTCTTCTCCAGTAGGACTCAGATGAGGGTGTACTCTTATGCGTGGCTGTGAAAAAAAATTGTTATTATGAAGGGCAGACCATCTATTTGTATTTATTTTTTTGTTTTTTTTAGAAAGGGGCAGGTCATATAAGATTTTATTCTTCTCCCTGCTCCTTTTCGCTCAATGGTGTGTAGAGACATGTTTTGTTGGCAATTATTGTACATTTGGCTATGCGTACCATGAGCGGGACAAATAAAAATGAAATGAAATATCCCAACCAATCAGCTACTGTGGTGACTTGCACAGTGGAGCTTATCATGTTTGTTAGATAATGGGCCCTGCAGTCCCGCCACTTTGGATCAACAGGGACAGTGAGGGGGCTTAAAGTCTCTTGATACAATCTTGGCCCCCATTCCCTGTTCAATAAAGCACTATAAACAAGATTGGATAACACTGTGGTCATCATCTAGAAGTTAATAATGAAAAATAATCAAACTGAGTTCTTAGAAGTCCATTCAAACACATTCGACAGCTGTAGTAGATACTGTATAAGGTCACCATTGTCTTTAAATGCTTTCACACCTCAGGGGCAGATGCGCCATGATTGTATCACAATATCATAGCTAATCACATCTCTGTGGTCTTGTATCTCATAGCATCTCTAGCTCTGATGTTTAGATCTAACTTTGAAAAGGGTGATGTTAGTTTCCCCTTTTTATGTTTGCATACAGCACACAAAAACAAACAGGTTTTGGACCAAACTTCTTCACAAAGACAGAAAAAAACATTTATGTACATAGAAGATTTGGATATAAAAAGAGATTCAAGTAGAAACACAACACATATTCTGTAGTACCACCAAGGTACAAGACAGCATATGATACTTTATGAAGACTCCTGTACTTTTACTTAAGTAGGATTTTGAACACAGGAAATAATTGCTCATATTACTCATTAAAAAAAGTATCTTTGCATTGATGTTTGATACTTTTAATCACAGTAAGTCAAGGATCTGAGTACTATAACTACACAAACCATCGTAATTTAATTATTTATTTACTTTTTGTTCAATGGCAACTTTCTTTGGACATGCAGCTATCTGCAGTATTGTGATGGCTCATTTTTCTCCTTGACCTTTTTGAATATTTGAACACAAGCTTTCCCTACCTTTCCTTAGCAAAGAGTTTTCAATTGTTTAGGATTAAGACTAAAGATTTAAGAAATACTTTATAAATCCACAAGGGGAAATTACATTTGTCCCAACCCTGACCCTTTTCACTCTGTTGTTATTGACATGACATCACACACTTTAACCACACTCTATTCATGTTTTGGTAGCCAAGTGCATATACTGGTATGATAATTATATTCTGATTCTGATTCTGATAACTGTTTGTTTTAAAAAAAAAATCACATGACTGAATGTTAACCAGGGTTTTCAGTCATTAACACTTTGGTTTAAAGCATCATACTCATTCTAAACAACTTTTTAAACTATTTATTGGAAGCTGTGGGGAATTAAAGCAGAAGACATGAGCGGAGAAGTATTTTGCGTTGGCTCTTTCCTGAACTTCAGTTTTTGGTGCTCCCATATCAACTGCTGAACTGGATGGTTAACTTTCTGCTGAGAAACATTTGACCTTTGTTATAACAAAATAAACAATCCATGGAATCACACGGCTAAAAATCGATAGTTCTCTTGCAGCTGCTGTGTTGCAATAATCAGATACACTTACAGAAGATACAGAATTGTTGGGACACTAACACCCATACCATACATGTCAATCTGAATTAAAAGCTTGAAATAACACAAGATAAAGATTACACAAGATGATAAGTGAAAAACAAGTTAAGGTTTAGCAGCCGAAAGAAGTGAAACTTACTTACAGAACTTTGTGTTCCAAACCAGAAGTCATCATGCCAATGGCAATGATCTTGTTTTTGACTGATTCAACATGATGTTTTGTGTCAGAGAACAACAAACATGACATGGTTCTGTTACACGTTGGTAGCTTAAATACAAATAAAAAATATTTGAGATTATGCAAGGGAAGGCCATGTGGCAAGACCAACCTGGTCTCACCAGAATGCGTGACTCCACCACGACTCCTTAACACCGCAGTGCGTGGTGGAGTCACAAACTTTGCTACATTTACATGTCTGCACCACGCAAACAACCCCAATGTAAAGTGAATGAGGCTCCTTTGTCCTTAACCCTAGCCCTGAACAGCTCTACGCCAATTATGGGATGTCATCATATGCCGTTGCCATGGTGACAGATCCCTCGCCATGAAACACAGTGTTGTCATAACTCGATGGAAAATGGTCCAAACTGCACCAGACTTCAGATGACAGTTAATGGTCCGGCCCTCAACACATCAATATGACAATAGTGAGTTTTCCTCAAAAGCTGTTGCCATGGCAACGCATCCCTCGCCGTTAAGCACGATATTGCTATAACTCCTGTGTAAATGGTAAAAAGTGTTTTTTTCCCATGTGTGCTAACCGTCAAGCCCTCGACACACATATATGTGTCAGTTTTGAGATTTCGTCTAATGTCGTTGCTATGGTAACAACATGGTCGCCGTGAAACACGGTTTTCTCATAACTCCAGTTAACATGC